ATTCTTTATAATAAACCTACCCACTCATCCCAACTCCTATTTACAGTGAAAAGTTTATAACTATGAAAAACAACCCAGTGACTTCAGAATATAGCTGATTCTAAAATTAACTCTAGTTAACCAGTTATTCAATAGTCATCAATTTTCTCATTTAAAGGATATTATGAAAAGCTCTAAAACTCCTAACTTTGGAATTATAATTAATCTCTATTTACTAAAGGGAAGACTGGAAGTTCACAGTACTTAATTGGTAACTTATCACATACCAAGCCTAGACTAGAACTTTGATATGATCCTAGTTTTTCATGACTGGATGACTGGAAATAATAGATGTGTGGTTAAGGGACATGATTAAGGGAAATGGTGTAAACCCAAAATATATAAGGCCCAAATTCATAAATATAGAAGACAATCAGTAAATAACAAAGTTTAAAACTTTCTAACATTCAAAACACAAAACTTGAGAATTTGGCTTCTTGGTCTGCAGTCACATAATGATTTTATTTGTGATTAATAATCATCATTAATATTAAAGGTTATTTTTACTAACTGAAGTACTATTACTGTATTGATTAGCATAAGGACTTACCTTAAGTGTTCATACTTCCATACACCTTCATCTTGGCCTTCAGGTGGTTCAAGAATTTTATCAATATTAGAACAATCTGCTCTTATGTTCTGTTGAATATACTAAGAACAAAGAAGTTCTTAAAGTGAATTGAAATATTCTGCATGGTAAATCTTACACTAAATATATTTAGTTTTGAATACATAATCACTCTTGGATTTAATCACTCTTAGGTTCAACTTCTGGGTTAGTCACAAAATAGAACACCAAGTACAGAATCATAATCAGTTATTCAGAAAAAAGAAGGTAACTCTTACCTATTTTCCAATTTAACTTCTTTGGGATAAGACCTACTACATAATTGCAGATATGGTAATTACCAGAATTGGAACTGGGATCAAAATTGCAAACCATAATTTTCACGTAAACTTACAATATGGACAATGTAAATATAACTGGACAAGGTACATATTTTATGATTCCATTTATAAGAAGTATCTAGAATAGGCAAATCTATAGAGACACAAACGTAGTTGCTTAGGACTGGGGAAAGACGGGGATAGAAAGGAGACCAGAGATAACTGCTAATGGGGATAAAGTACCTTTCTGCAGCAGGGGGAATGTTTCAAAACTAGATTATGGTGAACATACAACCTGTGAGTAAACTGGAAACCAGTGAATTGTGTATTTTAAATGAGTGATTTCTGTAGTATGTTAATGTGTCCAACAAAGTTGTTTTAAAAAATGACTAGCAGAAAGACTAAGTTAAAAAAGGCAAACAGACAAACAGCAAGGAGGTTTACTTCCAATTTAAATAAAATTAAACAAAACTTTAAATTTCTGATCTTTTTTATGCTTCATTAAATCTTTGCTTAAATACCCTGAAATATGAATAGGTTAGACTGAAATTTTAGAACTGAAAAATACAAAACCAAAATAAAATGCTCACTGGAGTCAACAGCAAAATGGAAGCAAAATGGAAATGACCAAGCAAATAGTAGATAACTTGAAGACAGAGAAATAGCAATTATCTAATCTGAACAACAGAAAGATTAAAAATAGTAACAACAGTAACAGAACAGAGCATCAGGAACTTGTGGGACAATGGAAAGTTTAAAAGTCATGTTACCAGAGTCTCAGAAAAGAAGAAAAAATATATATCTGAAAAATAATGGCTGAAAAGTTACCAAGTTTGGTAAAGATGTAAATTTACACATCCAAGAAGCTGAGTGGGCAGGGGGGAAAAGTGTAACAAAGAGTTACTATTGCTTAATGGGTACAGAATTTCAGTTGGGAAAGATGAAAAAGTTCAGAAGATTTGCAATAGCTAAGGTAAGGAAGCAACCTAAGTGTCCATGAACAGATGAATAAAGAAGATGTGGTACATATACACAATGGAATATTGTTCAGCCATAAAAAGAAAAGATATCCTACCATTTGCAACAACATGGATGGATCTGGAGGGTATTATGCTCAGTGAAATAAGCCAGGCAGGGAGAGACAAATAACACATGATTTCACTTATTTGTGGAGTATAAAAACAAAGCAAAACAAAATGAACAAAACAGCAGCAGACTCATAGACACTGATAAGTGACTAGTGGTTACCAAGGGGGAGAGGTTGGGGCAGGTGGGAGAAGAAAGTGAGGGGGATAAAGGGGCACAATAACTTGCAATCACAATATAAATTGGTCACTGGGAAGGTAGTACAGCATGGAGAATATAATCAATGATTCCATAACATCTTCTTACATTGATAGATAGTAACTGCACTAGAAGGGGTGACGATTTAATAATATGGGTAACTACTGAACCACTCTATTGTATATTAGAAACCAACATAAGATGGTATATCAATGATACTTCAAAAAAAAAAGTTCAGGAGATGGAGGTGCTAATAGTTGCCCAACAATGTAAATATGTTTAATGCCACAGAACTATACATTTAGAAATGGCAAAATGGTACATTTTGTTATGTATATTTTATCACAATTAAAAACAAAATGAAGAACAACAACAAAAGTGACCACCAAAGAGGAAAAACCAAGAAATTCATGTCCAGACACATATTCAACCTGCCAAAAACTAAAAATAAAGCCAGCCAAAAAAGATCCATTACATATAGAATAAGGATTCAAATGACTGAGCCTTCTCATCAGAAACCAAAGAAGCAAAGAAATGGAACATTATAAAACTGCTGAAAGAAAATACCTGTAAACCCAGAATTCTGTATCTAACAAAAATACCCTTTAGAAATGAAGATAAAGACATTTTCAGATGAAAAAAAACTTAAGGAGAATTCCCAGCCAAGAGACCACTCTAAAAGAATTGCTAAAGGATATTCTTCAGACAGAGAAAAATAATACCAGAAGGAAACCTAGAATATCAAGAGCAACAGAAATTATAAATATCTGGGTATAAATATGACAGACCATTCTCCTCTTGAATTCTCTGGCAGAGGAAATAAAAAAATAACATTGCCTGATGGGGTTTTTTCAATGTATACAGCTGTAATATAGAAAGGTACAGCATTAAGAGGGAGGACAAAGGATATATACAATAGTAGTTTCTACATTTCAATCAAAGTGGTCAAATACTGGTTCTGAGCAGACTGTGAAAACTTATGTATTTAGTAATCTCTACAGCAATCATCAAAAAATACATATAAAGAAAAACTGCCAAAATCAGAATAAATTGAAATACTAAAAATGTTCAAATAACCCTTATAAATAGGGAGAAAAGGGAAAACAGGGGAACAAAAAAACAAAGGGGATAACCTGAAAACAAGTAATACAATGGGAAACCTAAATCTAAGCATATCTATCAATAGCTACATTAACATGAAATGGCCTAAATACACCAGAGATAAAGGTTGTAAGAAAGAACAAAAAAATATGACCCAACTATATACTGTCTACAAGAAACTTCTTTAAATATAATGGCATAGGTAGTTTTGTTAAAAGTCCAAAAATGGAAAAAGATATACCATACAGATATGAATCAAAAGAAAGTAGCAAGGAATTAAAAGATGGGTCAACATTAAAAAAAAGAAAAAAATACTACATTAATATACAAAGGGAAAAAACACACAATTATCTCAATGCAGTCAAGACATCTGACCAAATCCCATACCTTTCATGACAAAAACACTTAGAAAACTAGGTATAGAAGAGAACGTGATGAAGGCAATATGAAAAAGGGTATTTATGAAAAACCCACAGGTCACTGATGCAAGACTGAAAGCTTTCCCTCTAAAATCAGAAATGAGACAAGGATGCCTGCTTTCTTCACTACTTTTCAACACTGCCCTGAAGTTCTACCCAGAGCAATCAGACAAGAAAAGTAAATAAAGGTTATCTCTATTCACAGATAACATGATCCTATATACAGAAATCCAAAAAATCCACAAAAAAGTTAATAAAGCTAATAAATGAATTTAGCAAAACAGCATGATACAAAATTAATATACAAAAAAAGTTGTGTTCCTATATACCTTCAGTGAACAATCCAAAAATGAAATTGAGAAAGCACTTCCACCTATAATAGTATCTGACAGAATAAAATAAAATACCTTGTAATAAACTTCGATAAGAAGGTTAAATATTTGTATACTTAAAACTGTAAAACATGGCTGAAAGTAATTGACAAGGACCTACCTACATGAACTGAAAAACATCCATGGGCAGGAAAACTTAGTATTGTTACAAAGATGCCAATATTACCCAAAGTAATCTAGAGATTCTATGCAATCCCTATCAATAATTCAACAGTCTTTTTTGAAGAAATGGAATAGCCGATTCTCAAATTTATATGGAATTGCAATGGGCATCAAGTAACCAAAATAATCTTAAAAAGAAAAAGTTGGAGGATTCACACCTCCAATTTCAAAATTTAACATAAAACTCCAATAATCAATCTCACCTCATACCTGTCAGATTGGCTGTTATCAAAAAGACAACCAGTAACAAGTGTTGGTAAAGCTATGGAGGAAAGGAAACCCTCACACACTGTTGGTACTGGGAATGTGAACTGATGCAGCCATTATGGAAAATTACTCCAAAAATTAAAAATATAACTACCACATGATCCAGAAATTCCACCTCTGGGTATTTATTCAAAACAAAAATACCAATTTAGATATGTATGTATCTCTATGTTCACCACAGCATCACTTACAATAGCAAAGATAAACACACAACCTAAAGTGTCCGTCAATGGATGAAAGGATAAAGATGTAGAATGGACACATAATGGAATACTAGTCAGCCACAAACATGAATGAAATCTTGTCATTTGCAACAACATGGATGAACCTAGAAAGTATTACACTGAGTGAAGTAGGTCGGACAGAGAAAGAAAAACACTGTAGGATTTCACTTATATATGGAATCTAAAAAAACAAAACAAATGAACAAACAAAATAGAAATAGACTCACAGACACAGAAAACAAACTATTGCTTACAGGGTGGGGGTGGTGAAGTGGTGAAGGGAATTAAGAGGTACAAACTTAAAGTTATGAAATAAAAATGCCAAGGGGATGTAATATACAGCAGAAGAAACATCATCAATACTGTTTTAATAAATTTGTATGGTGATAGATGGTAACTAGACTTACTGTAGGGCTCATTTCATAATATATAAAAATATCAAATCACTGTGATGTACACCTGAAAGTAAGAGGATATTACGTGTCAACTATTTTTTAAAAAGCTCCACTAATCATAACAGCGCAAAATACATAAGGACAAGATGAGAAGCCAAGATGGCGGTGTGAGTAGAGCAGCGGAAATCTCCTCCCAAAACCATATATATTTTTGAAAAGACAACAAATGTAACTATCTCTAAAAGAGAGACCAGAAGATACAGGATAACAGCCAGGCTACATCTACACCTGCGAGAACCCAGCGCCTCACAAAGGGGATATGATACAAGCTGCAGCCCGGCGGGACCCAAGCACCCCTCACTCCAGCTCCTGGCGGGAGGAGAGGAGTCAGAGCGGGGAGGGAGAGGGAGCCCAGGACTGCAAAACACCCAACTGTAGCCATCCGCACTGGAAGCGCAGACACACAGTGCATGGGGTGCTCGATACTAGGGAAACGGGAGGGTAAAACCTGTGAGTGGG